GGGGGGGCATCCCTCCCTGCCTTGGCACAGCCACCCCCACAGTGGCATGTAATTCGGCCGGGGGACTCTGCCCTGGAGCGGCTGGGGAGCGCTCACGCCCGCTGGCCCTCCCTCCAGCTCCGCTTGGGGACTGTCACCTCCAGGAGAGAAGCTTCGGTGGCTCAGGGTCTGCTGTTGGGAGCTGGGGCTGTCGCTGGCAGGAGGCAGCAACCCTTACGGGAAGCCCTGGGATTGGGTTTTTCCAGCCCCTGGCTCCTGTCCCGCTCCCCTTGACAGCGTAACTCAGACGGGGTTGGGGAGGCTGCATGGGGCCAGGCTGCGCCAGGCTGGGGGCATCGCTCACACGCCAGGGAGAGCCAAATAGCTGTGTCCTTCTGTCCACACTCATGGGATCTTCCTTGCGCTGGAAGGGATCGTCTCCACTGCGTGCACAGGGAAGGCACGGCTCCACGGCTGGGGCAGGGCTGGGCACACTTGGGCCATGCCAGCAGCCTGTAAGGGCTGGCACTAGGGGAGATCAGTTTAGCTCCAAAATCTCCGCGTGGTTATAGGCCTGGGGGCTGCAAGTAGCTCCCTTGCACGCTGCCTCCTTGCACACGTGTGGCAGGGTGCAGAGAGGACAGACCCGATGGTGGCACCAAGCCCGTCCCTGTCCCAGGCCAGCATCTCTGTCGACTCCTTCAGCCTTTGTGCCTCTCCCTCCACGCTGGCTTCCCAAAACCATCCCCACCTTCATCCCCTCCCCTACTGCAGCGCAGGTGGCATGGGGCAGGTGGGCACATGGAGCTGTGACCCTGCAAAGTGGCCATGCCGGGCTGGGTGCTGCCAGGAGGCAGGAGGGTGCAGGCAGATGGGTGACTGGGGTTGTCCCCCCCCCACTGGTTCCCTGCAAGCCATGGGGCGCAGGGGGGATGAGAGCATGCTGGGGGAGGGCACGGGGCATTCCGAAGGCTGTGCAAGCCAGCAGGCATCAGGGCACCCACTCTGCAGGGCCCAAGAGGAGCGGTGGTGCCATCCTTCCGTTTGTGGGCACGGGTGCCCTGAGCCCTGGGCCGGTGGGTCGGTGCCCCCCCCCAGCACATCAGATGCGGGAGGGTACAGGCACTGCAGCGAGTCCTTGCGGTCTGAGCCCTGGAAGAAGGGCTGGTGCTGGGAATGCTCAGCCCTGGCACTGGCCATGGCTGGGAGGCAGCTGGGATGGCACCCCAGCAGCTCTGTCTCTCCAGCAATTCTCCCCACTTGCCCCAGGGACAGCCCCTGCCAGCCCCACGCCTGGCATGGCCCCCAGGAGCGGGGCCACGGCCCAGCCAGCGCTGTGCTGGGCATTTGCCCATCTCGTCCCCTCGGCGAGCAGGGCAACGCTGTGCTGAGTCAGGGGCCAGGGGCACTGCTGCCACCCCTGCGCCCCGACACAGAGCCCTTCGCCCCCAGGGACCCCTGGGTCCCCTTCTGCACCCAAATCCCAGCCCACTAGCTGCGGCATCTGCTCCTCAAGGGCCCAGCTCCAACAGCTGGGTGGCAGGCACATCCAGCGATTTGTCAGTCTAATTAAAGCCTTAACAGCCTAATCAAAGCCTTATTGTCAGTCCAGTCGTATTTATAGTCCCACTCATCGCAGCGCACTCCCCATACGGCTGCCAGTGCGGTCGTGGCCCTGGGGTGTTGACATTCCTTGGGAAAGAAGGGAATGGGGGAGCCAAGGGTCCTGCTCTATGCCCCCTTCCTTGTTCTTACAGCAATTAAGGCTCTCCCTTACTTCCAAATTTGCTGGTTGGGGGCCATTTCCCAGGTGGTGGGGGCTTGTTCTTGGCTTTCCCGGGCATCCCCAGGACAGTTTTTCCCAGCTCCCAGAGCTGCTTCTCCCCTGGGAGCAGTGACCAGGGAGCACAAGGGCTCCAGTACCCACTGGGCTGCTGTGGGGCGGCCACACTCGCAAGTTTTCCTGTTTTCCTCCAACACCTTTTGCGCTCCGGCTTCCTGGTAGCACAAATTAATATTTCATGAGTGCAGCAGGGTGAACCTGACACTTAAGGAAAGCAATGACCCAGCAGGAGCCAGGCGCAGGTGCGCTCGCACACGGGCAGGGGCACACGCACCTCGCACACGCGTGGGCATGGCCGGAGCCCACCTGGTAGGACCCGGGTGCAGTGGGGGGGTCTGGCCCTGGTCCCCCCAGCTGCCTTCTCTCTTCCCTCCCCAGCGGCCACCAGCACGGAGGAGGCAGAGCCATGGCATCGCTGCTGTGCAACGCCCGTGAGTGCCCCGGTGGAGGGGAGGCGGGGGGCAAGGCACTGGGCCATCTGGATTTACACCACGGCAAATCTGGGCCATGGGTTTGAGCCCGCCTTGCTGTGCTTGGGAGCATCTCTACCCTACCATGGCCATTGGGATCAGGCTTGGCGGCACCAAGGGTGGGTGGGAAGGGTTGATGAGGAATTACTTTCCACCCTTCTGGGGCGAAGGGAGTTTGTTTGGTCTCTGTCCTTCCTCCATCCCAAATCAGGGGACCATGTGGGGTCCCAGGGGTGGGAGGGAGCAAAGTAGCAGGGCGCATTGCCCGAATACCCCCACCCTCAGTGATGCAGCCCACACTGCCCCCAGGCATCCAGCTCACAGACACGCTGGAGCAGATGCAGCAAGGGACGCTGATGCGCAAAGTCAAGTCCAAGAGCTGGAAGAAGCAGCGTTACTTCAAGCTGCAGGATGACTGCATGACCATTTGGTACCAGTCCAAGAGGACAGGCAAAATTGAGTCTGCCTGTGAGTACCAGCTGCTGTGTGTTGTCCATGGGGCCATCGGTAGGATTCAGAGTGAACAGGAGTGCGAATGTGTGGAGATTCTTGGAGCCATGCTTGCAAGGCTGTGGCATTCAGGAGAGGCTCTGTGTGTGTGTGTGGGCTCTTTTCACCCACACCTCTCCATGAAGCATCCTCCCTCCAACAGGACCCATGGGTCACAAGGGCTGAGTAGAAATTGCAGCTGATAGAAATGGAAGCTCTGGCATGCCAGCAGAGGAGTAGGCAGGCAAACAGACGAGTGGATGGACAAGTAGCTCAATGGATGGATGGATGAGTGGAAGAAGGCAGGGCTGGAAGGACATATGTCTGTGGGCAGTTGCCCCTGCCCTGCGGTCCTTGTCCCCCATAGACAGGCCTCCCCTCCCTCTGCCCCAGTCTCCATCAGCGACGTGGAGACAGTGCGGGAAGGGCACCAGTCGGAGGTGCTGCAGAGCCTGGCCGAGGAGTTCCCCCCTGAGCGCTGCTTCACCATTGTCTTCTACGGCCGCCGGGGCAACCTGGACCTCATTGCCGGCTCGGCAGAGGAGGCGCAGTGCTGGGTCCAGGGCCTGCGCCAGCTCATCGAGGTGGCCACCAGTATGGACCAAAGGGAGAAGATAGACCAATATCCTTCCTGCAGGCACCATTCTGCCCCCTACACCCAGTCCTTCCCCCATCTCCTGCCTTGCCCCGGCATGTGCTTAGCTCTTCTGGGTCTCACCATATGCATCAGGGCAGGAAGAGCCCACAGAAAAAGGAAAATAAACCCTCTGATGCTTCCCAGCACCATCTCTCTTAGCCAAAGTCCTTTCCCTTAACATCTGCCCTGGTTTCTTGCACGTGGATTCGTGACTGGTTTCAGAAAGCTGACAAGAATAAGGATGGGCGCATGAACTTCAAAGAAGTGCAGCGTCTCCTCAAGATGATGAACGTGGACATGAATGAGGATCATGCCCTGCGGCTCTTCCAGGTAAGCACTGCACCTGGGGGCTGGGAGGGGATGGAACAAGCTGCACAACACCCCCCTGCAGAAGGATGTGGTCACTTTCTTCCATCCATCCATCCATCCATCCATCCATCCATCCATCCATCCATCCATCCTTTTATTTGTTCACCCAACTGCCTGTTTACTCAGACAAACATCCATTTGTTCATTTATCTGTCAGCCCAGCTGGCCAAGGCAGCTGTTCCCCCCTTCCATTCATTTGTCCACCCAGCTGCTTATCTGTACATACAGCTAACCATCCATCTGTTTATTTATCCATCGACCCAACCAGCCAGCCAGCTGTCCATCCGTCCATCCATCCATCCCTCCATCTGTTTGTCCATCTCTCCATCCATGGACCCATCCATCTTTCAGTCCACCCAAACAGCCCTCCATCTGCCAATCCATCCATCCATCCGTCCATTCATGCATTGATCAATGCCTACCACTGCTGCTGGCGTGGAGTCTCAGTGCCCTCTGCTGGGGGTGGGGAAATCCCCCCCAGCCCCATGGGGTGGCCAGGACACCTCATTTTGCCCCAGCTGGGTGCTGAGTGAGCTCCCTTGCAGGCTGCTGACAAGTCGGAGTCGGGGACACTGGAAGGGGAGGAGTTTGTGCTCTTCTACAAGGCCCTCACACAGCGTGAGGAGGTGCTAAGCCTCTTCCAGGACTTCTCCGAGGATGGGAAGAAGCTGACGCTGCTGGAGCTGGTGGATTTCCTGCGGCAGGAGCAGCTGGAGGATGAGGGCACAGAGGAGCTGGCCATGGAGCTTATCGACAAGTACGAACCATCGGAGACAGGTGAGAGCCAGCCCTGACACCAGCTGAGCTCTGCATGGGTGGAAGGAGGGGGCTGAGACCCACAGCCCCACAGCAGGGGCACCCCCAGCCCCATCCTGCTGCGAGTGGGCACAAGGGGAAGGCTCACCATGGTGTGAGCTGCGTGCAGTTCCCCTTTTTTTGGTCCATTCCTGGACTGTTTTGGTGTAGAAGGTTGACCAGCCATGGGGTGTAAGCTCCAGCTTTGGGGTCCACAGCCCATCGGCCCATGGCTGCTGCCCTGGGGCATCTCTCCCTGTGCCCCAGCCTCTAGCAGCAGCCATGCCCACCAGGTTGGGGATGCCAGGAGCCACCAGCAGCCCTGTTTGTCCTGATCTTGTCCCCTCCGGGTCCTTGGCTGTTGCTGAGCTTCCCCTTCTGCCTGCAGTCAGGGCTCGCCACGCGCTGAGTGCCGACGGGTTCCTCATGTACCTCTGCTCCCCGGAGGGCTCCATCTTCAACCCTCGGCACCGGGTGCTGTGGCAGGACATGAGCCAGCCGCTCTGCCACTACTTCATCTCCTCCTCCCACAACACCTACCTGATAGAGGACCAGATCCGGGGCCAGAGCAGCATTGAGGGCTACATCAGGTAAAGGGGCTGCTCCCTCCTGGCTGCCCCACAGCACCCTCCCGCCCCGGGGCTGTGCCCCAGGCAGCTCTGGAGGGCAGACCCACCAAGAGGAGAAGCTCCTTTGCTCCCTCCTGGTCCAGTACCCCTGTGGCCGTGCCATGTGGTGCCCAACAAGGGGGTCAATTGGGGATGCTGAGCCCAGCTCTTCCTGCCCTGCATGCAGCAACATCTCCACCCTTGGCGGTTGTCCCCTGGTTCCCCCAGGGGTGACACCCACAGCCAGCGGGGAGGGCAAGGGGCTGGTGGCCTGGCTGGGTGTGGGGTCCCAAGGGAGACCACCCACCCGTAGGGCTCTGAAACGGGGCTGCCGGTGCCTGGAGGTGGATTGCTGGGACGGGCCGAACGGGGAGCCCATGGTGTACCATGGCCACACCTTCACTTCCAAGATCCCCTTCCGGGAGGTGGTGAGCACCCTGGGGAAGTACGCCTTCAAGGTAGGGTACCCTTCCCTGGGTGCTGGCTGTACTGAGTGGCCCTTGGCAGGTGTGTGTGGGGATGTGGCTGCAATTTGGGGCGGTGATGGGTCTCTGGAGCGGGAGCGGTGCTGGGGCTCACATGCCTGGTGCTACAGCAGGACTGACCCCACCACAGGCAAGGAGGGTGGCTGTGTCCCTTCCTGGGGGAAAGCACTGGAGGTCTGACTCACAGCGCTGCGCTGTGCTGTACCAAGGGATGGGGGCTCATGCAGACATGGTCTGCTGGGGGGGCAGGGGTAAGATGGGGCCCGGAGGATGCGGGTGTGAGATGGGAATTGGAGGTTGCTGGGGGACTGAAGGGGTATGACGGTCTCAGGGGTGGAGGGGCGGATACAAGGACATACAAGGGGCTCCATCCTGGCACTGATCATGCCTGGGCAAAGCCCTTGTGAGAGCTCCTCAACCCCACCGAGGCTGATCTTCAGCTGTGCATGTTGCTCCCCAGACCTCGGACTACCCAGTGATCCTGTCCCTGGAGAACCACTGCAGCATGGAGCAGCAGGAGGTACTGGCCCAGCAGCTCAAGGACATCCTAGGGGAACAGCTCCTCACCACCACCATCGATGGGCGCATCCCCACTCAGCTCCCATCCCCAGAGGTAGGGAAGGATTGCGGCCGTGCTGGGCACCACTGTCCTGCCTGGGAGTGGGGTGAGGAGGTGGCTCTGCTGTGCAGAGGAAAGGCCACCCCCATCCTGCTCCAATGGAGCATGCAGGGACCCTGGGGACACTGTGTCCTCACTTTCACAAGGGTCCCAAAGGTTGTCTCCCCATGCCCTGCAGAGCCAGAGGGACAGCAGGGTAGAGCCCTCCTACCCCATCCCCTCCTCAGTGCTGCAGGGAGCTGGTGGTGCTGGGCCCCAGCAGTGCAGGGTCCCAGGGGGCAGCAGATCCCATGGAGGAGATGGGCACCCCAGGATGCCTACCTCTCCATCCACAACCTCACAGGAGCTGAAGCACGAAGGGGAAGAAGATTGGGCGGCTGGAGGACATGCTGGATGGGCCAGGGGATGAGGCACCTGATGTGTCCGACGATGACAACGGGGCAGAGGCAGAGGAGGAGAGGCGGAGGGTAAAGGTGGGTGGCCAGGGGCGGGGACCGGCTGGGAGCACCGAGTCCCCGAACAGAGCTACGGGTGGTGGTGACATCCCACCAGGGAGGGGGAACGGCCCTTTCTGCCCTTGGCCATGCCAGCCTCCTCTTTGCACAGCGTCCCTGTGGTGGCACTGTGTTGGGGGTCCCTTCCTGCTCTGTTCCTGCAGGAAGGCTGCCTGTGGCGGGGGGGCCGCCCCCCCCGGTGGTTTCA